TTTGATAGAGAATGGTCTTTATCAAGAGAAAAACAAGTTTGAGAAATATATGCAAGAATGAAGAATTAATGGTAAGCAAAGAAAGTAGTAATAAATTAGTAAAGTAAACATGTATTTTTTTTTATAAGATCCTGATTACAAAGTGGAATGTTTTAGTTACTAAATACCTACTTCCCCATTAGCTCAGGAATCCTCTGGAAATTTACAGTGTGTGTGTGAGAGAGAAGTCCTTGTACTTTGGGGCCAGACAAAGACTCCTTTGAACACCCTGAACTGGGAAAGACAGATGATATAATCTCTTCTGCATGGTCATAGCCATCTATTCTTTTCTTCACCACTAGTTTGTATTGGATACGTTCCCGCAAAAGTTTCTTTTCTATCCACAGGTGAGGCCGCTGATGCTCTCTGAAAAGCCCCATTTCTGCTTTCCAGAGCCATCCTTTCCAGAATCAATTTGTTCAAGACTTAGTCTCCTTATCAATTTCAGTTTTTGGTCATTCATTTGGTCCTGATTCTTTATTGACTTTATCTGGTTGGTTCTCAGCCAACATCACACCTGACTGTCCTCCACACCTTCCCCCTGGTCTCTGATATCCTGATTTTGTACTTTGCTTTGTCCTCTGAGGGCCTCTCTGACAGCTCAGTTGGTAAAGAATCTGTCTGCAATGCAGCAGACCCCGGTTCGATCCCTGGGTTGGGAAGATCCCCTGGAGAAAGGAAAGGCTACCCACTCTAGTATTCTCGCCTGGAGAATTCCATGGGCTGTATAATCCATAGGGTCACAAAGAGTTGACATGACTGAGGACATCACTTTCACTTTGTCTCCTGAACTTCATTCCTGATTCCACTCCAGCTAGAAGAGAGGTGTTTGGATGCATCTTTTATTTTTTTGCAAAGATGACCTTTTGGAGGAAAAGAAAGGGAAGAAGGTAAGATAAATATTGTTTCTTGACTACCAAATACGTACCAAATACCTTGCTTGATGATTTAGCCACACTGTTAATCAGTTCAATCAATACTGGAGTTAGATGTCATTAACCTTTAAAAGGATGTCAAACACACTCCAATTTAGTTGATTTCCAAACAAGTGTGAAATGATTAAGGTCCTATAACCTAATAAAAGCACCAAGATTTATGGATCAGTTTATTAGTCAAGAAATATTCATGTCTTCCCAGCAACTAATGACCTTTTTGAAGTTAAGTTAAATTAAGTTACAAATGCATTTTACTTCAACTCCAAGAAAATTGCCATAGGTATTCAAGGGCATATACAACAGTTTCTGTTTAATGCACTTCTAAAATAACAATATTTTAGCTTGATACATCATTTGGTACCTTTTTAAAGATTAATTTGTGGTAAAAAATTCTCAACCAAAAGACACAAATACATGGTTGGCATGACAAAATCTGAGATACCCCTGTGTGTTACATGAGTTTAGTTTTCTCTCTTCATTCTTTACATTCCTAAAATTCTTCACTAGCTCCTATTTTTTAAAATGGCTGAGAAGATGGATTGGTACTTTCGGTTATATTGTGTTGATATTTTACAAAGTATTACAATATGCAGAGATAGTCACAGGTAGTAGTAAAACTTGAATATTTCAATGTGCTCTTTCAAGTATATTTCTAAGAACACAAAAATTCTATGTGTGGAGGCAATTAGTGCATATAACTGGACTAAATTCATGCTAGTAGCAAAAAGTTGCCTTTCCTCATAGACAAAATAAAAAAAAAAAATTCATGTATCTACAAAGAGAAGTGAGAACTTTTACTCCTAAGCAAGATCAACTCACACACTTATTGTAACGAAGATACGCCTTCATCTATTTTCCTGGCATCTGACAGGAGATGGTTTAATTAAGGTCGCTGACCACCTTTCTACTACTCTGGTTCAAGCAGCAATTACTTTGGAGATTCACCAAAAACGTTACTGTAGCATACATCACAAGGGGAAGAAGCAGCCAGTGCAATTTAGAGAATATATTACTCCTGTGGTTTAATATATCACTGGGTCACTGCTTTGGTGAATAACTTTTAAAATTGTTTTAAGGTAGAAAAGACTATTCAAGAACATTTTGTTCATTAGAAACTTGAGAGATTTTTCTCCTATGCCTTGTAGATCAGACTGGGGAGGCAGACAGTTGTTGCTGTTCAGTTGCCAAGTCATATCCAACTCTTTGTGACCCCATGAACTGCAGCACGTGAGGCTTCCCTGCCTTCACTATTTCCTGAAGCTTGCTCAAACTCAGGTCCTTTGAGTCAGTGATGCAATCCAATCATCTCATCCTCTGTTGTCCCCTTCTCCTCCTGCCCTCAACCTTTCCCAGCATCAGGGTCTTTTCAAATGAGTCAGCTCTTCATATCAGGTGGCCAAAGTATTGGAGTTTCAGCTTCAACATCAGTCCTTTCAACGAACATTCAGGGTTGATTTCCTTCAGGACTGACTGGTTTGAGCTCCTTGTAGACCAAAGGAGGGACTCTGAAGAGTCGTCTCTAGCACCGCAGTTCAAAAGCATCAATTCTTCGGCTTTCAGCCTTCTTTATGGTCCAACTCTCACATCCATACAACTACTGGAAAAACTATAGTTTCGACTATACAGACCTTTGCTGGCAAAATGATGTCTCTGCTTTTTAATATGCTGTCTAGGTTTGCCATAGCCTTTCTTCCAAGGAGCAGGCATCATTTAATTTTGTGGTTGTAGTCACTATCTTCAGTGATTTTGAAGTCCAAGAAAAGAAAATCTGTCACTTTTCCCCATGTTTATTTCAGTTAGGTGAAAAGAATTCTAAAACTTTTCTAAGTGTTTACCCTGAAATACCACTGTTTTGTATCCTGAGTCTTGTCTAAACCATATTAAAATGAGTCATTAGTCCCACTTTTAAGTATTTGCACCTATAAACTAACTCACGTTTTCACTGGGAGCTCCTGACTTGGGGATACTTGCTTGAGGGTTTCACTTCTTTGTCCTCTATTGTCATTCACATGTATTTCATTTCTGTATAATTCCATGATTTGGAATTAGTAAGAATGATTTTTTTTAAATGTCTCCAAAATGACCAATCATATTTGTGCAAAGCATACTGTTTATGCATCAGGTTATTAAAAAAGGGGTATTGCTTTCTTTCAAGCAATGTTCCCTTTAGATAGAGTTTCAATTTAGCTTTAGTGCCAAAAGCTGTTCTGACATAAGTGTTTTTAAGAAAGAACATCTATCAACTTAGGTTTATTTGCATTTTATGTAATGTTTTTAAAAAGCCATAGGGGCAAATAATCAAATCTTTCTTAAATTATTCACAGTGTCCTGATTACAACCTATCTATAAGTCTTTTCCATTTTGTGGCAGTTTATAAAGTAGCTAACAAACTCCACTACTGATTTTGCACCAGTGTTGGTAAACTTTTTCAGAATTTAAATTTACTCACAGTAACTAATAGCCACTAATAACGTGATTTCTTTCTTTTTTTAACAGCCAGAGTCTGCAATCTTGTGGTAGATGCAAAAGCAAACAAATCAGGCCTATCTCTTGGCTGGGTGACCTTCTGGGTCACTGATCCACCCCTTAAGAGCAGTTGGGTTTCTTACCTGAGGTCCTTGGGTGAATTTCAGAGGGTGTTTTGTGAATGTCTTAACATTCAGTGCAAATGTGTCCCATGTGAGAGAGTGTATGGATTTTCATGTAAAACTTTTACCAGAAGAATTTGGGTGATGTGGTGGATCAATGTAGTATGAAGCCTGTGAGTCAGACTGCCTGGATTTGTATCACAACACACCACCTGGCAGTTTGACTCTGAACAAATGACGTAACTTTTCTCTGCTTCTGTGTTCTCAAAATTGCAGAAATACTCTTATAGGCCTGCTGTGAGAATTAAATGGGAAAATTTTGTGGGTATGTGAAGCCCATAATACAGTGGTAGGTGCTTAGCACTCACTAAATATTAGTAATTACCAGCATGCTCTCAAAGGAATTTACAACCACCAGAGTTAAGAGCCACTAACCTAAGCCATTTTTAAGATTATACTTTAAAGAATCAGTTCCTGAGTTGAGAAGTCACACTAAAACATAATTCTAATAGAATATGCATTGGTAAAACATAGAGACTCATATTCATAATTAGAAAGGCCTCATAAATAACTCTGAAAATGTGGGAGGTCAATTTGTGTTGTTTTCCATGGGAGCAAACCCATCTTCATGATCTGGGGTGAGTTCCCAGATGAATCACTTTGAATCTGCTCCTGGCTGCTCCACCATCCAAGTTTGTCTTGAAACCCTGAAATAAACTTCCTAGGGTGAGCGCTTACATTGTAACTACATCCATACTTTCATTTTCAATTAGCACAGAAGTCAAAAGTTACAAAAGCAACGAGATTACGCATCTTTTAATGAAAGATAAAACAACAATATAAACATACACAAATTTACAGAGAAGGGATCAACTTTGATACATCTGGAGTAAAAGGTGTCTCTTATTTAAATATGGTATAAAAATAAATGCAAGAAACATTAACCAAGAATGTACAGACAACAGACAAAGACATGTTTGTTTCTGACTGTGATACATTGGTGAAATGAAACTCTCTGTGCTAATTTATTATTTAATAAATGTGAAGCTATATGTATACTTCTTGATATATGCTTTTTTCCTTTTATAATTCTTCCAGTTTGTGACTGAATTTTTAGTGACCTGTGTGTCTAGAAGAAGGTTTAAGAGAGAGAGAAAGGGGGAAAACAAAAGGTTTACTTCACTTGAACTGTTAAAAAGGAAAAGACACAGATCCAGCTTAGTACAAGGAAGAAGTCAGCAGACATTCTGAAATGGAGGCGTCAAGATGGTAGAGTCCCTTGGAGATGGCAGTGCCGTAATGTACACAAAGAAAGAACAATTCAGGTCCTCTGCTCATGCAACATCTTGGTCTAATGTCCTCTGCTCCAGGTAACAACAAAGAACTACAAAGTATATGCAGTGACTCCAGTTCGCTTTCATGCTACAAGATGATCCTTTTAATAAGACTGAACGAGGCTTGTTAACCTCTTTGACGTGAGGGATTTCCCCTGAGAAAAAATATAAACAAGGGAAAAAAAAGAAAACAATATGATCACTGAAAACCTGCTTATGAGTAACATCTGTTTATTGCAGCTGATACTGTACAAGGGTCAAAATGGAACCCTTTAGATGCATCTTAGTTCAAACTTCATGACCAAGTTCCCTCCTTCCCTCCACCAACACATCAAACAAAATGATCCTCCCTTTTTCCATCCTCCCACCCCTCCACCCACTACCTCCCCCTGCAAACAGAATGATGGGTTCACAGCACAAATCAGCAAATCATAAAACACGTCCAAAATGTTCCACTGAGGCTTAGCAACGATGCAACACCTAGGTTTGCAACTGGTTATAACATGTTACAGCAAACTAGGAAGTTGCCCTGAAAGACAGTGATGTGAATGCATTCTTGTCCAACTGCTAAGATTAGTGTTGCATTTATAAATATCTAGATGTGTACAGGGTATGATTTAATTAAACAAAATGATTTTTGAGGGTGAGACTGCTGGAAACTCATGATTGAATCTATTCCCTATCCTATATGGTAACAGAAAAACAAACAACCAGTGCCAATTATACATCTAAAGAGAAAAGTCTACTTGCTCTGTACTTCAAACTGTAAATGTCTTCCTTTTCCATTTGATTTCCTTCAACCTCAACCTCAGAAAAACCTCATATATTCTAATCCCACTTATTGTGTTAATACCTAGTACACATATTCATTTTTTGAACATCTTGATAGTCAAAACTGTGCCTGTAAATTGCAAATGCTCTACAGAAAGGTATGAAATTTTAAATTTCTGATGAGAATAACAGATTGTCAATTTGGTTATTTCTGTTTCATCCCTCATTGTATATGTTTAGTATAAAAAGTAGGTGAAATTTGTACTTCTCAGAGAATAAAATAATAAGGGAAAATCAGAAGATTTTTTGAGAAATATATTTTAGTAATAAATTAGTCATAGCAATAGTCTTGATTTACTTTTTAATGTGGCTCAGAGTTTGATAAATGAGTGGTGTGGTTTGGGGAGAGAAATCAGCATTCATGACTATATTTTGGAAAAAGAATTATATATTTAAAAAATGATTAGTAATTCCAGAATCAATCTTTCTTTACATACTGTGCAGTAACTGACAAGGTCTTTGTATACTTGATCAGCAGGAATAAAAATGAAGCACCAAAAAAAAAAAAAAAAAAAAAGAATGAAGCACCATTCTCTTTTAATTGGGGAAAAGAAGTTCATAACTTAGCTTTTAGCAAGTTTTGACATCTGACTGTAGAAGAGCCACTTTAGCAAAGGACTTTCCCACTTAGCTACGCTCTAATCACTTTATGGGAAGAAAAATACTGAAAGAAAACGCAGACTTCTCACAGGACACCCTGTTTTACACTGGCCTTCTAGACAAACTATGCTTTGTTTCTTGTCCCTTCTGTGCTCGTTTCCTCCTCATTCACAAAATGGGAATAAGTACCGATTTTAAAAGCTTTTTATGAAGAATAACACAAGTAAATTACTTAAAACTATTTCAGAACATTCTGTATACTCAGTTTGCTAGTCATTACCTTATTATATTATTACTATTATTATTATTATTACTGTTACATTCTTTCTCATCAGGATATTGAGACCCAAATTCATTTTTCTGACTCTGAAAGGAACACAAAATTTCTCACGAATTTGGAAGCTAAAGTTATACTACTTTTACACTCCAATACCTTAATCAAATAATGTTTGACTAAAAAAACTACTTTTCTATACTTGAAATTTACATTATTTTATACTTCTACTACTTTTCTCTCTTATGCTATTAATGTGTGCATATATACTCATTCTGATACTAATGTATTTTTAAAAAGTGCTTACTGTTTCTAATGCCATTTGTAGGGTGGGGAGAACCTATACTGGTTGAAATATGAGTGAGTTCATATACAGTTGACGAGGAAGAGGAAGATGCTAACATAAAACTATTTATATTAAAACTACAGATTAATATAATTTGGTTCAAACTATTGGGAGGATGAATAACAGTTAGGTTGAAATAGGAAGCCATTTGTAACTCGGAGTCATTTTTCATTTTGATCAGTGGAAACGATGTCATATTTGTAAATGTAACACATGGTTATCTCTACCTACTTTTTCCCTCAAATATCTATGAAGTTATTAGTACTGTCCTGGTATTGGCTTCATTTTTAAAAGGGGGGAGGTACAGATTTAGCTTGGTAAGCTGTTGTAGCAGGAAATAATTTAAAAATACTCATTCATGGAAGCCCATGGAGAAATACAGGGCTACAGTACATCTGGGGTTTGTGATAGTAAGAAAGCAGATGAACAGAAATGGGAGAACATATGTATATATGTTAACAAACCCACACAAGAAACTCTTGTGAGATGTGGACTCACCAAATACATAATAAGGGTATTTGTTTTGTGTATTGAAACAATTAAAAGGTAAATTTAGGTATATCTAATAGTAAAAAAGAAAAAAAAAACCTAAGTGCCTCACCCAAGAGTCAAAGTAAATAGCATGGATACCCAAGTGAGTTATCTAGATTTAAAGACTTAGATCACGTGGATGTGTCTGTAGACCCTGTGCAAATCTTGCCTTGTTCATGTACTGGAAAGAAAAATACCGTGCAAAGATATTTTGTGCACTCTCTAGTGTGCAAAGAAATATCAGTTTCTCACTTATTAGAAAATCTTAAAAAGGACACTAATTCTTTTTTGCAGGTAAGAAAGAATATACTTGCACATCAGATGTTTTGTAATAATCCTTTTCAGTGCGGATCCTTGGAGGCTGTATTAAATCACCTTAAAAGACAATACTACTAGTTATCTAATTTTTGCTAATTTTTCTAAGTTGAAGAATCTGGGAAAATTTCATAGTTAAGTTCTAAATATCTTAATTCTGGAAACTAAAAGGGATAAAATTCCTTACCAATAGCATGTTTTTTGTTTGTTTGTTTTTATCAAATTGCTTACAACTGAATTCTGTATGAATAATAACTATTTTCAACCCAATGACTACATTTGTGCTATGTCACTTATACACATTCTTAATGGATTCTAAAGGAAATGAATTTGAAAAAGAATGGATACATGTAATGTTTATGTATAACTGAATCACTTTGCTGTGTACCTAAAAATAACACAGTTAATCAACTATGCTATACTCCAATGTAAAATAAAAGTTAAAAGAAAGGAAATAGATTACATTGGAAATGGAAATCTACAGAGAAAGACAAAGACAGAAACTCAAAAATTCAGCATCCTGTGAGATTTTATAATATCTAGTTAATGGACAATATGCTAGCACATGATCAATTTCAGGACAAAATTAAGCTGACTTTAACTGATATCTAAGTGAAGACAGATTCTCTGGATAATCTACAATATAGCTATCACATAAACAAAGCAGTTTTTCTACTGTCTCACAATAAAATTTCATCTCCACCAAACTAATTCTTTCCTTTTAAAATGTTGCATGGAGATTTTGTTATAATTAGAAAAATAAAACTCCCCCAAATTAAAATGATCTATGTGCTCATTCTTAGTTCTCTCAAGTTGACTATCAAACATTATGAATTTCACATGATTTAAAATTTTTTCTTGGTCTTAAAGTAATAACAGAAAGTTGACAAAGAGCTGTGAATCCCTAGAAATGGAAATAAAGATCAGGCTCTTGGCTCCATATGAGAGCCCTCAGCATTTGGGAGATGGAAGCAAATGTCCACACTCCGTTCCTGCAGACACTAATCCATGAAGGAAGTAGGGGAGAAGCCATATTTGCTTGGGTGACCAGCTACTTGTTTTATTACTGTCATAAAACATAAAAACTGTATTCAGTCTTTACCAGTCTACAGGACAAAAAACAAGCCAACACTAACTGAAGCGCTGGATTTTTAGAAGACCCATGAAAGAGCTTAAAGAGTAGGAAATTACCAGGATCTTTTGGATTAAAAAAAAATTAACATCTTAACTCTTATTCCCACTTGTTTGTTTCATATTACTACCTCCTAGTCTTTCCCATGTGTTGCTGTAGACTTAGAAATACCTTCTAGAATGGCTTGTCAGCTCCAGAGGCTCTGGGACCAGGAGAGGGCAAATCTTGTCATTGACTTTCTATTGGTGTGTGTGACCCAGTTATCCGAGCTGTGCTGAGGCCCACAGCTGCGTAATAACATGGACTGACTGTTGATGGTAATGAGATGCTGCTGGACTAGAGATAAGAAACGTACATGCTCATGATAGGCTGAACTAAAGGACACATCTGTTTGTTTATTCTCATATGAAAATTATACCTGCTTCACTTAAAAAATATAAACATCTTTGCCTGGGTTTCAAAATCCTTCCTAACCTGGCTTCCCTGACCTTTCAAACTACCTGTTGTCACTCCACAGAATGGTTCTCTAGCTGTTCTTCGCACCTGCTACTCTCTGAGTTTGGGTTTTACTCACTCTTCAGATAAACTTCTTACTCATGTTTTTGCTGAAGTCTCCTAGCTGCCCCTTAAGTTTTCTGCAGTTTACCTCTCTGGATTCTTTGTCAGTACTTTATTTCCTCTGGGTCGGGAAGATCCCCTGGAGGAGGGCATGGCAACCCACTCCATATTCCTGCCTGGGAAATCCCATGGACAGAGGAGCCTGGTGGGCTACAGTCCATGGGGTCACAAATAGAGTTGGACATGACTTAGCGACTAAACAACAGCAAGTGCACTTTTTTAAATGCTGTTTTGTACAATCCTTTAAGTCACCTGGCTTGACAAAGCAATTGATAGCTGTTAAACAATCTTAATATTATAGAAGTCTCCAAAAATGTACTTGTTTCTTTGCATGAGTTGAGTTCCTTGACTGGAAGTCATATTTTAGGAGTAAGCTTCTAGAAACCAGGGTAACGAGATTCAAATGTATTGGTACAAGTAATTTTTAGGGGAGGAGAGGCACGGTAGGATGAGAAATGGGAAGCATGTTGGACATACCCTCACTATTAAGTAATTAACTGATAGAATT